TCGAAAAGGCTGTCGGGAACGTTGCCGATGACATTGGCGTTCGTTGACGCTGCAGAACGACTCGGACGCAGAAAATGAGTCGAACAAACCTCCCCACGTCCATTTCAAATGTGACTTGATGCATCGCACGACGAGGGGGAACTCCACCCACATGTACGTAGCCATTGCCGTTGCCAGCCGTCGTTGTTTCGTTACTGGTGCATGCGGAGGACGGCCGACACCATGGCGGTATCGCAGTTTTGAATTCTACTCCGAGGTCTTTCAATTCGCCACCCTCTCTAGTCTGGTACGATCAATTCCACAACGCTTGAGAGCGACAAGGTCTCTGACAGTCCCGTTTTTTGTTTTGGTAATCGCGGCACGGCTGAAGTTTCGTTTATTCTCTTTTCTTTATTTTTTTTATTTCTCCCCGCATCATTCAGCGTCAAACCCCACACCAACAATTGTATCTCGGGAACGGAGGGTCACGAGCGCATGGTGAAGGACATCCGATGATGTACCATCATGAGCCAATACACCCATCTCTTCCATATCTTCAAGGAGCCGATCGACATACTCACCCGCCCCGGACAGATGAGCAACTTGAGCACAAGCTGCATGCAAAGCCAATAATTCTGGAGATGGCAGGGGTAACTTGACGGGATCCGGGGTGGTGAACGTGACTTTATCCATTTTTGACAACAGGCCATAGAGGAACAAGGGATCGGCTGTCCGAACCTTGTAGCAGTTCGGTGTAGCCTGTTTGTATCAAAAGGTTAACAAATTTCAATTTCGACGTCAGATGGGCTAGTGAACTGACTGTCTTTTCGAACCAAAGTCCCAACCGATCAAAGAAGTCGTGAACGTCCCACTGCAACGTCATCACATTGAACAAAGAATGCACTTTCTCGCCGTTCAAGCTGTCGACATCGTACCCGAACGACTTCAAGACCGCCAACACATCCGCAGAATAGTCGCTCTAAGCAAAGATGTGGGATCAGATTTAGAAAACCGGAGAGTAGCCATACCTTCTCATGCGAGTTTGCAGCTCGGTTGAGATACGCAGAATCTGGCGCAATATGGACACAATCTGTGTACACTGTGCCTCCAGCCGACAATAGGTCCTCCAGACTGATATACGGCAACGACTTGGCTCGCTGATCGTATATCCCAGTGACGATGCAACGAAATCTGTCTCTAATGAGAGCCTGAATGACTTTAGCAGAGTAACCGAAGAAGAGATTCATCGCCAACTCACCTGATTCTTCGCTTCAACAAAATGTTTAGGTGACTCTTGGACCTTAGCAACCTGCGCTTCCTCGTCCTTACCAAGAGAATCTCGACTTGAATGCGAGCTTCCCACAGGCGTTCTCCCTTTGAATGTCTTAACTGAAGAAAAATCAGCTGGTAAAGCGAAACGATATACGCGGATGGCTCACAAGGACGAATATAATAATCGAGAAACGTCGCCCCAAGCGCAGAAAGACCTGCATAGTCGTTACCACATGATTGGATGACTTTGACCACCTCGTGCTGAGCAGGGAGGGACGGTGCATAGATGATCAAGTAACCCAGTATGCGTGCGTTCATTAGATCGCTGGCGGTACCATGGTTTGTGGCGTGCTCTTCAAAGTCGAGGCAGAAGTTGTAGGCGCTAGTTGTGTTGGAGTCTAGGTGGTAGTGTTTGGCGGCAATGGAAGGTAGTGCAACGGGCATGATCGAGTGGTGGTGAGGAGGAAACAGACGCCCCGATGCGCGTATGCACCGTAGAGCTCGCTACGCGACACCGTTGGGAGGGAATAGGGGTTGGCGACATCCAGACAATATTCAAGCAAGGATAAACCCAGTCCTATATCGGTACAAAAATTGGTACATACTCGTAGACGACGAGCAAGTTGTAGCCCCCCACTGCAGACCAATCACATCGTCCTTTTTGAGAAGGGAGGGCCAGTTGCCAATGTTGGACTGGGCTTTGACAACGACCTTCTGTTGCAAGCACTGAAAGTCAAACTTTGCTTCCCACCCTCCTTCACCAGTTTTCGTGGTGTCAGTAGACTTGTCAGTAACGATCCAACATCTAAGGCGATTCTTTGTTCACCTGTGCATTTTCTTGAACGCGATTCATTGGAAATCCCTGCCCCACAGGATCGTCAGATGTAAACCAAAGTCGGTCCGAATCTCCTCGTCTGGATGGTAGCGATTGGGTGGACGTTTCCTCGGTTGAACGCCACTGAGCCAGGGAGGAGGTGTTCGGTACGTTCGGTTAGCATTCTTCTGATCATGAACTTGTTTCGAAATGGTGAGAACTCTGTCGAGAATTCCGTTGTAAAATGTTGACTTGTTTCACCTGCCCAGGGTCTTGCTCACCGTCAGTCTTGCAAGCCTTCGATTGCGATTCTCGTCCTCCCCGATCTGTCAACATCCTTGGCCCACCTCCTTTTGACCTCCTTCCCTGAGGTTTGATCTTCTCCATTTTGGTAGAACGTCCGTCGGCAGAACGAAGTTTACGAGCCCCCATGTGTTGCAATGCTGCTTCCTTCGAACGTTACTCCGTCAATGCACCCACACCTCATGGTCAACAGTGATCTCGTGACGCCTGATCCAAATATATCAAGACTTTTTTGTCTTCTTTGGCGATATCTCCACCGAGGAAGACTAGTGAAGGGAGCCACCATATGGTTCGCTCCCGATACAGTTGACTGATGCGTTATCCCGGCGGTTAATCCGCGCCTACCTCCACCATCGTCGCTCCTACGCTGCTATTTATCCCATGGACGAGTATTTCTGGTTTCAATTACAGCAGCTCCAATTACGGCACTAACGAACGTGCGCATACCACCTCCCCTTCAAAAGTGTTCATCGTCGATGGCCTCTTCGAAGGAGGAACTACCTTCGCCGTAGGTATCAATGTCGACCAAGATGTACTCGCTTTTCGCTCTGGCGAACCTCCTGCTCAGTCTAGGAACGGGAATCGCAGCACTGCCCTCGATCTCCCACGTCCGTGTTCCCGACAATTCACTCGAGCCTGTCCAAATTCGTTTGGCATACGCTGGTACAACCGGGATGTACATCAGCTGGAACACTTTTTCCTATCTTTCCAACCCAAGCGTTCGTTATGGGTTCTCTCCCGACGCTCTCTACTTTTACGCATCCTCCGATACCTCTGTCACGTACCCGACTTCACTCACCTATAACAACCACGTTAAGATCACTGGACTCGAACCCAATACGGTTTATTATTACCAACCCATCTTCAGTAACTCCTCTGCGATATACTCGTTCAAGACTGGTCGAGTTGCTGGTGATCCAACACCTTATACGACTGCCGTAGTGGTTGACCTTGGGTTGATTGGTCCGGAGGGTCTTAGTACCACTGTTGGAAAGGGTGCAGCCAATCCTTTGGGTCCGAACGATACGAACACCATCCAATCTCTGATGGCGAGCGAGGATTGGGAGTTCCTTTGGCATCGTGAGTACTTTTCTTCAAATTCAAAGGATTGTATTAAACGTCCTTTCGACAGCTGGTGACATTGCGTACGCCGACTACTGGTTGAAGGAGGAGATTCAGCAGTATATTCCCAATACAACCATCGCGGAGGGATACACTGTGTATGAGTCGCTTCTCAATCAGTTTTATGATGAGATGACACCGATCACGGCTGCGAAACCTTGGATGGTCGGCCCTGGGAACCACGAGGCGAATTGTGAGTGACATAACACCGTCTTGAGGAATCTGTCCACTGAAAGTTGGACTTTCGGTAGGTGACAATGGAGGGACAACGGACAAGGTGCGACTCATTTACAATATGGAACGAAATTGCATACAATCTCTCTCTGACTGTTGACCAGACCAATAACATCACTTACACCGTCAGCATCTGCATGCCCGGCCAAACCAACTTTACAGGATTCATCAACCACTTCCGCATGCCAAGCGAAGAATCCGGTGGAACGGGTAACTTTTGGTACTCGTTCGATCACGGTATGGTGCATTATGTCCAATTCAACACCGAAACGGATCTGGGTGATGGATTGACTGGTCCTGATGAGGTCAATGGAACGGACGGCGAAGATTCCGGTCCGTTTGGGAGATTCAAGCAGGCTCAGTTGGATTGGTTGGAGTATGATCTCCAGAGTGTTGATAGGTCGAAGACGCCTTGGGTTATCGCAGGTAAACTACCAGTCACCTATCCAAGTAGTATATTATACTTATTCTTGGTCTAGCGGGTCACCGTCCGTGGTATATCAGCGGCGCAAACTGCACCGAGTGTCAAGAGGCTTTCGAACCCGTGTTCGCAAAGTACAAAGTTGATCTTATCCTCAGCGGACACGTCCATCTCTACGAACGTAACGCCCCGGTGAACAACAGCGTCGTCGATCCTAACGAGCTCAACAATCCCACATTCCCTTGGTACATCACCAACGGCGCTGCTGGACACTACGACGGGTTGGATACCCTTGTGTATCCTCTCATGAACTATTCGCGCAAGGCGTTCGACACGGCGTATGGATGGAGTCGGTTGACTTTCCATAACTGCACTCATATGACGCATGAGTTTGTGGCTAGTGCGAATGGGACCATTTTGGATACTGCGACGTTGTATAAGGACAGGACCTGTTCTTCCTTTGGATGGTGAAGAGGTGACTCGGAGGACTATAAATCAGATTGCCAGAATCCCGAGCGTTCATTGGGGATAGAGGCAGCCAGTAGGACATCAGTCGTGCATGTATAGCTCCACTCTATCGGCCAAATTTGCGTATCATAGAAAACCGTAACTTGCATGGAGCTTTCGAATGGGTTGTTTGGACTATGACCACACCAACGTCTGATTTTCCTCGCACAACACGCCACAGCACTGTCAATAAAGTGCTCGCTAAGAGAAGTTACTGGTGGGCAATACTCAACGAGTTGCAAAAGTTTGATTCCAACTACAGTACTCACCGTTAGGCTTTAGTAGCCCATAGCGTAGCGCGGAGTTGACTTGGAGGACCACAGCTAAAAAGATTGCCGCGACAACATCAGGTAGTACCAGGGTTCGAACCTGGGTTTCGGGAAGGATGTGTAATCAAAATCCCGAGTGATAACCACTACACTATACCACCGTGACAATTCCTGAGCAGGCCAAAATACGACCCGTAACTTTGCAGACGACTGTCCTCGTCCTCGCTGGGTGCTACTTGCCACGAGCTTGTCCTGCACGTTTCAAAGCTGCAGCATCCCATGGACAAGTCAGTACTACTTCCCGTTCCCCTTTGATCAACATTAATTTCATCTCACGCTTCCATCTCCAGCGAATGCGATAGCGTTTGGACCGCCGTTGAGATTCACCCCCCCTCGGCATCTCCGCCTGCACCACGCTCCCTGTCAGTGAAAGCCATCGGTGTAGAATTCGAAAAAATTCAACATCCCGCAGCAGTCCTGGAGGGTGCGGAGAACTCACAGCAGGGGATTTCCCTCCTCCCCACGGAGCTCTTGACGGGCATTCTGCTTTCTGTCGTCACATCCGAGCAGCGGCGCGCCCAACATATGATCGATGTTTCTCCCAATCACTACGATTGCTCGCGATGGCTGGCTGTGTCGCAGGTCTGTTGTTACTGGCGAGAAATCGTTCTCGGATGCGCAGAGATGTGGAGGTGTCTCTTCTTGGGGAACCCGACAATGACTGCTGAGATGGTCTCCCGTTCGATGGGTGTACCCCTCATCGTTGTATCGGATGAAAATCCTCACAGAGAAGCTGTCGAGCTTGCTCTGAATCAGATTTCGCGGATCCAAATCCTTAACATCACAATCGCCGACAGGGCCAGGGTTGGGATAGAGGAACTTTTGGATCAACAGCTGAGCACTGCTGCTCCAGAGCTCCGATGGCTTGCCATTCAGGGATATGGGGTATCCAACTGGACCGTTCCGGCTATCCTTTTCGGCGGCATAGCCCCGAATCTTCAGCGATTGAGGTTGTCGGGGTGCAAACTTGCCTTACCACTTCCCTTCCTCCAGTGTCAATCCCTCACGCATTTCGAACTGGCGCCCTGCTACACCGATGAACAGCTCACCGTTAGCGCCCTGCTTTCGTTGTTTGAACAAATGCCGCATTTACAGCGCCTTGTTCTACATTCCGCCTGCGATGGCTTTGGAGATCCAGCCTTTCCTCGGACAGTCGAGCTCCCGCATCTCTCCAAGATTCACACCAAAGGTCATTCGTCTCGCATCATGGCAAACTTGATGTACCGTCTTTCGTTTCCACACGATTGTATTATTGCATTCGATTGTACTCATTCATCTGACCATGCCGACTTCCCCGGCGCTAACGAGGACCTTTCCGCTTTGTGTCACTCAATTGCCACTCATCTATCGAGTGCAGGTACCACGGATTGTCGAGCGCTTCCATACCGCAGCCTCCAACTGTGGGGCACGTATCCACGCATCCGTATTTGGGGGACAGATGACGTGGATGATAAAGATGTCGTCTATGATGCATGGGACGAGCCGAGGATCGCCTTATTGCTCAGACATACCTTTTCACCAGGGTGGGGCCTGTGCACGTTTACGAAATTTCTCCCTTTGGATTGCATCGTGTCAGTGTCGTTGCAAGCAGACGATACTTCAGGAATCTCTGTCGATGAATGGAAGGTCATATGCGCTCGCCTCTCACGAGTACGCCTCCTCCGCGTGTTTTTCCCAGGGAAATCAACATTACCAGCAGCACTGACCCTATCTCGCGAGGAACGACAATATCCGTTACTTCCTGCCTTGGAGATTGTAATTTTGCAGCAAATCCCACTATCGGAGGACGAGACGGATTGCATGTTGCGACAGTTTCTTGATTGCATTCAGGCACGGGCTTCATGCGGTCATCGCCTACGGGAACTGAGACTAAGGAACTGTGGCGTTGATCCGGTGAGGCTAATTGGCCTCCAGGATCAAGGTATAAACGTGGTCGCGGAGCCGTTGCCGACGAGGAGCAACGAGGATGAGTATGATTTCTGGGAAATGCGAAGAGCCTCGAGTCTCCGAGTCTGATCCGTATTTCTTATGTCGTAACGGTTGGCTAGATAATGAACTGATAGGAATTCCGTCCGTATAATATTTAACAACAAAAAGATGAATGTAGTCCATTTCCTTCGGTTCCTTCGTGTTCACTGGGGAGCTGAGTAACAACGTTAACGAAATGCCGCCATTCGACCCGCCAGCTGAAGTCACTTACGCGTGAAGTCCCAAGTCTGATTTGTTCCTGCCCATTTACTCCACAGCGTCACCAAAGTGCCAGGAGTCGGGTTTCCGTGTTCCGCGAGATCCCAGTTCAAAGGAGTGTTGGGGAGGAATACCCTGACGCACAACGTTAGAACGATATGGTGGAAGCGTGTATGTTGGGTTATACCTGTACTTCGTGCTATCTATCTCATCGTGCCAGATGTCCCACTCGGTGGGAGTTGTGGTCACAATAAGAGGAGTCCCGTCACCGGGGGTACCGTCGATGCCTATATACAACCCGGAGCTCACAGATCTGAAGGTCCAACCGGCATTGTAACTCTGGACAACCCACTGCAAAAGTCGATGAGGTTAGCGCAAGCCTCGAGCACAATGATTCAAAGACAACGACCCACCTGCTGATTTGCTCCAGAATGGTAGGGGTAACCGATGATGGACCTGCCGTCGCCTCCAGAGAGGTCCAAAGAAGTACCACCCAAAACATTGACGATCTCGTAGGTTCCTCCTGACGCAATTACGACCATATTGATGGAGTTCAAAAGTCGGGAGGAAATGCGGCAGGGAGAGCACCTTATATACAGCGGATCTTGGTGATATCACCAGCCACGAGGCAGTATCAGATGAGCTCACGACAAGAGGCGAACAAGCTACGGGTGAGGGAGCGATTATATCTTCTGGACGCCAGTGCGGATGACACGTTGATCGAATAGAAAACCTCCATTTTGGACCTTGAGCACGAACGGGTAAGATAAATCGCCGGATTGATGGTGGCGGAGAGGCATGGTTTCGCCAATTTCTTCCAAATGAAGCTTGAATGGAAAGCTGTCAGTACTTTTGAAGAGAATAATGGCGTCGATACGTACTTACGCCGAGGCACAATCGGCGTGCAAACAGACGCACCACGTGTAAACGTCGAGGACGTTATCGCGGGCTCAGCAACTCCGCGACCAGACTGTGGTGATCAATAGGGAACTGGAGGAATATTAATGGGCTGAGGCTCTGCCAGAGCTGCGCCACAACACTTATGCAGCGTTCAACCGACTTGTGACCAGCCTGTCTTTTACTTAGATGTCAGTAGGGAACAAAAGCTCCATACTGATGGGATTCGATTGTCAGGCTCGGTTACCAGCCTACTTGACAGGTCACACTTTGCCGACTCCAGCAGCTTGGAGAGGTTAAGTAACTCCTGGAATCGAGAACAACAAAGACGTCTTTACCCTCAGCAAGAGTCCGTTCCCACGATGATACAGACTATGATTGGTGGACTCCCTAAGTGGCTCTTCGCCCTTGAGCCCTTGATCAAACGATGTATCAGGTTCCATGGTCCGTGCGCATCCGATATTCCTAACTTCAGCAAATTTTCTTAGTCCTCGCCGCAACGGAGCACAGTGAGTTCGACTCCGAAGAACTCGCTTCCTGGCAGTTCGACGCCGATACTCTGAATATGAAAACCAAGATATACTATCTCGGGATGAAAGACACCCCACAGATCTGATCAAAGTATCGATATTCAACAACAAAAATACAAGTGTACATCATTCGTCTGGGTTGCTTCGTGTTTAGGTGCCTGGCGGAGTAATTATATCAATTGCAGTCATACTCGACTCGACTGAAGTTACTTACTCTTGAAGTCCCAAGTCTGATTCTTTCCTTCCCATTTGCCCCACAACGTCACCAAGGTACCAGGAGCTGAGTTTCCGTGATCCGCAAGATCCCAGTTCAAGGGAGTGTTGGGGAGGAACACCCTGACACACAAGGTTAGAACGACATGGAGGAACAAGGGTTTATGGTGAGCCGTACCTGTACTTCGAGTTATCTTGCTCATCGGGCCAGATGTCCCACTCAGTGGGCTCTTGGGTCGCAACAAGAGGAGTGCCGTCCTGAGGAGGACCTTGGATGCCTATATACGAACCAGAACCCAGGGATCTGAAGGTCCAGCCGCTATTGAGCCTCTCGACGAACCACTACGAAGATCGATGATGTCAACACAATTCTCGAAGAGAATCGATCAAAGCAACAACCAACCTTTTGATTCGGTCCGCCATGGAAGCCATACCCAATGATGGACCTGTTGTCGCCCCCAGAGAGGTCCAGAGAGGTACCGCCCAAAACGTTGGAGATATCGTAGACTTGTCCTGACTGAATTTGGACCATATTGAATGAGTTCGAAAGTCTGGAGGAAAGACGAGGGGGGTGGGCACATCTTATATACCCAAAACGCCGCTGATCTTGATGATATCACCAGCCATGAGGCATCAGATGAGCTCAATACAGGAGGCAAGTTCGGGAGGAGCAATTACATCTTATGGTGTTCGAGACACCAGTGTGGATGACAGCTCGATCGAATAGAAGACCACCATTTGGTCCCATGAGCACGCAAGGGCAGAGATGAATCGGATTGACGAACGTGGAGACGCAATGGTTTGGCCCATTTCTTCCAAATGAAGCTTGAATCGAAGCTGTCAGTTCAGGGAGTGCTCTTGGAGAATAATGGCGTCGGTATATGCGGTATGGTGAGATCTATGCGCGAGACGACGCAGGGAGAACGCTATCATGGGGCAACTCCAGATCGATAGTGAGGCGCTGAGCAGCGCCACAATGATCATCCGTCACGGTCATGCTTGATAAGTCACATTTTACTTGTAACGTGGTAGTGGAGGGGGGTATAATAAGGATGACGATACTGTATCCCCATTTATATTGCCAGCCGAATGCAGTCTGTATCATCCAAATCGGTACTGATGGAAACCTCCTTCCACTCCTCCAGTCGCCGCAGGGTGTCTTCGCAGACTTTCTTGACTCCTCCATAGCAGTCACGGCCGAGGGAGAGAACCAAGGGGACGTCTTTACCCTCAGCCATACCTTCCCCACGAACGATATCGACGATGATTGAGGT